TCACACACATCCATATGCACTCGCTGCAAAACACGGTTTGCTGCATTCCCAGACGGAGGAAAAGACGCGCGGGTATGCTTGGCCTTCACACACGGCTCACAGATACTCTTTTCCTTCACCTTCTCCCGGATTTCAGCCGCGCTCAGGCCCATACCAGTGACCATTTCATCAGACACGAGCTTCTCTAAATTACCGTACCCTAGGTGTCCGAACCTACGATGCCAAAGCTCCGCAGATTCAGACAAGACCGCCAGGGTTTGAACACACTCCCCCTGGCCCAAACGGGTCGCCTTTAGGTAGTAATGGGTGCCCACCCGCACACACGGGATTTGCTCCCCGTACTCCCACTCCAGGCTTGCGTATTTCCTTATCCGCGGGCCTAGGCTGACAAGACGTTTCGGCCGCCTAATCACAGCAACCGGCCCACGAAAATCCACGTGGTAACCCTTCAGACCTAGTTCGCCTACCGAAATCAGCTTGTGACCTAATCCCGGCGCATGATACACATTCTTTAGGGTAATCTTAATCTTGCCATTGTCTCCCTCTGCTTCTAGCAGGACGGTACCCACTCCAACCGTCTTGCAAATCGCACCCGCCACACCTTCTAGGACTATGCCGTCCGTGAGCGGTACGTACTCGCTGAAGTCCGACCGGTCGTCCGTAACATGGACGGCCGCGGCCGAGTCCACTTTCCAAGCCAGCTTGGCGAGCGACTTCTCAGCTGTTGCCTGGATTTCCTTGGCTTCGGAGGTGGTGGAGGTGGTTAGGGCCATTACCAGCTGCTTGCTGCATCGGTTGTTGCCCCTGTTGTTGCCTCTTGTGACGAGCGGGCACTGAGACTTGATATGCCCCAGGACACCACATTTATGGCACTTATGGGTAGCGTAGGGGTTGATGGAAACATCAGGCCCGCCAGAGCTGGTACTCGCCCCGACGTTGACATTTCCCTGGCCTTTACCGGCTCCACTACGGTAGTCGCCACCGAAGCCACGGTGGCCTACCCCACTGCTCCGGCTGCTAAACGCCAGGGCCTCGGCCTGGGCCCACTCTGCGTTGTTGTCACCTTGCATCCGCTCCGCCAGGAGTAGAGCGGCCTTGATTTCCGAAAGCTTCATGTCGCTTGGCGGCTTGGCAGCAAAAAGCGTCTGCTGCATTTGGAATTTCTTATGCAAACCACCCAAGATAGCCAGGGCGAATTGGCAGTCGTCGGTCTTCGAGCCCACTGCAACCATTTGCTCGCGCAGATCCTCTGCTTCCTCGAAGTAATCAACAACGGACTGGCCTGTCCGTTGCTTCAGGTTGCTAAATTTCTGCTTTATGAACAAAATGTTCGCTCCGATCTCAGACACGCATTCGGCGCGGATCGCATCCCACGCTGCGGCAGAGTCGGCTGCTTGATCGATCAGCCTGTGAAAACGGGGCACCGTATATTTCACCAGCTGCGATTTTGCCTTCATGGACTTGTCGGCGACGGCGCTCGGCAGGTCTGCTGCCTCGTCCCACAAGTCCTTGCCGGCCAAACAGTACTTCATGGCCGTCCGCCAGCGAAAATAGTTGGCGTAGCTATCTAATCGCTCTACATCATTATCCTTCCCCATACTTGTCCTATCTCCAGAGAGTTGCTAAGCCAGCAAGTTCGGACACAGTACTTAAGCAAAACGCTCGCTCGCTTGCCGCGGCGGCTCGGGGCTCATAACCTGTTAAGATATAGGCGAGTGGAACTGTGTAGGTAAAGCCAACCTCAACCGTTACAGGTATCACAGAACAAACTTTCAGTCAGAACATCATCTCCTTTATACCAAACATTCCATCTTATCTGTCGTACAGCCGTTAGTGTTCTGGCCGGAAGTCAACACCACCACCTAGATGTGCGCACTGCGTTCCTCAACGGGACGCTGGAGGAGGTGATTTATTGTGACCAACCGCCTGGTTTTGAAACGGGTGGCGCAGGTATGAAGTGTCTGTTGCGGAAAGCGTTGTACGGTTTACGTCAGGCAGGCAGAGCTTGGCACCAGAAGTTGCGGGAAACGCTGGAGGCTATTGGTTTCAAGGTTTCTAATGCGGATCCCAGCTTCTTTACGCTGGAAGAGCAGTCATTTGTGGTGTGGCTATACGCTCACGTAGACGACTTGCTAGTCGCGAGCAACAAAAGCGAGGAAATAGCCCGTATAAAGCAAGAGTTGAAGGCTGAGTTTGACCTCCGTGATTTGGGGGAGGTGTCGTTCTTTTTGGGTATGGAGATCAGTCGGAGCAAGGAGCTAGGCGAGGTCAAAATCTCGCAGCAGCGGTATACGGCCGAATTGTTGGCCAAGTTCGGGATGGAGGATGCAGTTCCTAAGTCGGTTCCTATGACGCCAAGTCTAGTTTTGAGCCGTACTAGTGATATCGATCAGGTATTGTTGGATGCAACGCGCTACCGAGAGTTAATTGGGGTTGAATGTATCTGGCAGTGTGCACGCGTCCTGATATCGCGCATGCTGTGTTTAAGTTAGCGCGGTATATGTCTGAGCCGGCGAAGGCTCACTGGGAGGCTGCTAAGGATATCCTGAGATATCTGAAGGGGACTGCGAGTTTCGGTTTATGTTTTGCCAGGGACAGCAAGGCAATTGAGGGTTATGCCGATGCGGATTGGGCAGTGGATCGAGACAACCGCCGTTCGACAACTGGATATGCCTTTATCCTTGGCGGTGGAGCCGTCAGCTGGAAGAGTCGGTTGCAACCGACTGTAGCAGCATCGACTGTGGAGGCCGAGTATATGGCGGCGTCCCTAGCTACTCGCGAAGCGCTCTGGCTGAGGAAACTTCTGCCCGAGTTTGGGTGTGAGATCGACGTGATGCGTATCTGGGGTGACAACCAGGGAGCATTAAGTTTGATAAAGAATCCGATTGTTTCGGAACGTGCGAAGCACATCGATGTGATTCATCATTTTGTGCGTGAGAGGGTATCTATGGGGCAGGTGAAGTTTGAGTACTGTCCCACTACCAGCATGGTAGCGGATATCCTCACGAAGCCGTTACCGGAAGGGAAGTTCGTGCAGTTTCGAGAAGGGCTGGGTGTTCGTTGAGTTGGATTCGCCCGAGTGTTCCGTCCGAGGGGGAGTGTTGACTTCCGGCCAGAACACTAACGGCTGTACGACAGATAAGATGGAATGTTTGGTATAAAGGAGATGATGTTCTGACTGAAAGTTTGTTCTGTGATACCTGTAACGGTTGAGGTTGGCTTTACCTACACAGTTCCACTCGCCTATATCTTAACACTTCGTTGTTTGCCGAATTAATACTCGCTGCTACTTCCTTAAATATCTTGATAAAAAAAACAATTAAGGTATGCCGGGAGTAAAATAACAGTGATGTCAGTGACCAGATCGTATTCTTCCTGTAACGTACAAGTGTACGAGTTTCGCATACGGGCTCGGGTTTTTAGGTCATATGAAGAGTTTATGAAGGAAATACGAAGAAAGTCCTGATGGCTTTGATTTTTTCTCTCTCGTGCAACGATATGAGTAGTGAGTAATCTGTTCACTGACTCATTATTATGTACGTCCAACGAGGAGGGTCCTTGTGAAGCAGCTGCCCGCGTTTCCAAAGGCTGTATGTTGGAGGATTGTGAGGTGCGCAAGGACATGTGCCAGGACGGGATGTGGGGCCAGGATGGAGAGGCAGGCGCAGCAGCAGAAGGGAATGTGATGGTTGCACACGAGTCTTACACGGCGTTTGGCGCACGGCGCAATGTACTTGCAGTCAGTCGTTGCGGGCGCGAGATTGCCAGAAGCACAGGAACTACAACCCGAAGAAAAGAACAGCAGCACAGGTACAGCGCGCGTACATGACACCTCCGTCGTTTCTGTGCCGAGAAGGAGGAACAAAGGAGAAGTCCTAGAGTAAAGATCCTTATTGCGCGTGGATGGCCATGCCGGAACAGTGGAAAGGATGGGTGCTTTGCACGCGGCCAACTTGCCCCCGAGCATTCGAAGAGCGGACATACGGAGAAGCGCAAGGAGCCCCCCCCTATCCTCAAACCTCACGCAATAGACCATCCCAAGCGCTGCCGTCCGTAAGGGCAGCAGATTCCGTACACACACGAGTTAAGGTCGGAAAAGTATGCACCGGGAATGAAGGCCTAAGGGTGATCGTGCCCTAATGAAACAGCACTGCTCAAGGTCGGGAAGCGTAACGCTGAATTCGCGCGACCCAATCCGTCAAGCGCGTGGCGTCCAGGTGCTGTGTGGGCTAGGCGAGCGTGTCTGGGGCGTCATCATCATTGTCTTGGGCTGTGACGGCGGTGGGCGTGTGGGCGCTGCCCGCGCGTTGCCGCCTCATCGCGTAGAAGGCCGGGCTGGCGGAAGGCGGCCCGCACAGCACATTGTAGCCGCCTGGCCCCCGAGCCTTGAACTGCGCGATGTAGAAGGCCTCCATCCGTTGGGCCAGTGCAGGATTGGCGGTGGACATGAGGCGCGTGAGCGAGAAGTGGTCATGGAAGGGTTGGTAGCGGCTGGCGTCCTCCTTCATCCGGCTGGGTGGGTTGCGGGCATGAGCCTGGAAGCGACGTTGAGGGTCCCGGGACTGGCCGACATACACTCTGCCGGTGGGAGCGCACGTGATGGTATACAGTCACGTGCGGGGGGAGGCACTGGAATCTGGCTCGGCGGGGCTGCTTGCGGCTCGCTTGGCTGGCGTGGTTGTGGTCAGGAGGGCGCCCGACGCTCGCGCCTGCTGCGCGGCCGTCAGCACCGAGCGCGCGAAGTCCTGGTCCGTCTTGAGGACGGTGCCCGCGTCCATGCCGTAGTCATAAATAAGCTCTATTGCGGTATCAGCTCGCAGGCTGCCGGCAGCCGCGATCCATAGCTGCATGACCTCCGCATGCGTCGCGGTCGCACGGTCCGGCATGTCGCCTTCGTGTATTGCCGCCGTGATGTTGTACAAGTACGCTGCAGGGGCAGGGAGGGAGGGAGGGTGGATGTGAGGTTGGCGGGATGTCGGGAGGGAAGTGGAGGCATGGAGGGGCGAGGCGTGACAGGAAGGGATGCCGTGGCCACATGGCTGGACACTTGGAGAGCGGGCACGGGGCACGGCAGCGGGTGCAAGCGAGGAATGGGCGGCAAGGCAGCACGACTCACTGCTGGCGGGCTTGACGTGGTGCTGCTCCAGGAACTCGTCCCTGTACTTTCGGGCCTCGGCCAGGAGCACGTTGAACTCTGCATTTGTGTGGTTAGCGCGCAGGACGTCCTCGCCGTGACAACCCATGCTTGCCAAGAGCAGCTGCTGCCTGACGGAACGAGGGGCAGCAGCAGGGCGTGTCAGGATGCTGGAAGCACGGGACAGGCAGAGTGGAGCAGGAGTGGCGCGCAGCAGGAGTGGCAAGCGTGCTGTCTGGCAGGGTGCGGCGCGGCAAGGCGGCAAGTAGCAACGGAAGATGAGGCGCATACTTGAAAGACAGCGGCCGTTTCGGCACCCCGGATGGCGTGGAGCGAGCGCGGCCTCCGCCCGTTGGCGACGCCGCTGCTAGTTGCGCCCACAGGTCGGCGATGTGGACAGGCGGCTTGGATGACGCGCCGGCGGAAGAGCCCGACGGCACGCTCGGCGAAGGCGCGCCGTAAGCGCCCAAGTCGGTGGGCGGAAGGGACTGTTGCGGGAGTTGGGATGGGCGAGCCAGTTTGGGAGGCATGTTGATCGTGGTTACCAAAGTAGAAGTGGGGTCAGCGAAGCGAGAGGCTGGCTGGCTGCCGACCGCGAAAGCGAGTTCGGTATATAAGCTTAAAAATGGAAACAGGAGAATGTATGGAATGGAAGGCGAGACAGGCCTGCATTTATACAAGTCGCGGCGACGTACGAACCGGACGCTTGAAGGGGGCGGGGCGAATCGGCAGGGCGCCGGAGGAGTCGGTACGTCTTCGCATGGTGAGCATGGGCGTCGGCAGCTGCGGTAACGGGTGGGGCGCTGGGACAAGTGGAATGCGGCAATGAAAAAAGCGCCATGGAAATGGCAGGCGGACAAGCGGAAATGTGAAAGCGGCGTGTTGCTTTCAGCACATCGAACAGCGGTTGCATTCCAGGTGCGGCGTGCAGGTCGCCCGCTCGTCGGTGAAGGCGAGCTCGGACAGGATTGGGGTGTAAAGTATGGAATGAATCAAGGTGCGCTAGGAGGTGAGGAGACGGGACAGGGGTCATGGTGCTGACGGCGCTGCGCAAGTGCATGGACGTGAATAAACTTTCTGAAAGGGGCTATGTTACGAAGCGCGATAGATGCCCGCGGCCGGCGAAGAGTCCCCGGCCGGCCAGCCAAGACGGAATCGTTCAGTTTTTAGCGGCGTGTTGCTCCCAGCACAGCGAAAAGCTGTTGTATTCCAGGAGCGGCGTGCAGCTCGCCCGCTCAGATGAGAACGAGAGGTCGGACAGGAAAGGGGTGTAAAGAATGGAACGAATCAAAGTGCGCTTGGTGGTGAGGAGACGGGGCTGGGGACATGGTGCTGACGGCGCTGCGCAAGTGCATGGACGTGAATAATTTTTCGGAAAGGGGCTATGTTATGAAGCGCGAATGTGATGCTCGCGGCCGGCGAAAACGCCCGGGCCGGCCAGCCAAGACGGAATCGTTCATATTCATGGAAAGGCACGTCAACACCAGCCGGACGAAAGATGCAGGATGTCGGCTAGTATGCGCATTATTCATATCGTAATTGCAAACCGCACAATAAATGTGAAAGGCGTAAAACGTCAGGAGCCGCGATGCAGTGATTCGCGCAGTAATTCGGGGCGGGCACATGAAAGGGTGGCGCATGCGTGCAGCGGATGGAAGGACTGGCGAGGAGCAGGATGTCACGAAATGTGTCCATAGCGACGGGCGTGCGGCCGGTTGTCGAGGTCCATACGAAAGAGTAAAACAGCGGCAAACGGCTGTGCGCCCGCTGGCAGAAAGACGAACCGACCCAGCGAGCTGCGGGCGACACTGGGAAACGTACGCGGCGCGCGGTCCGGGGTGGTAGCTGAAAAGCCAGGACAGCCGAAAAGTCCGGTGCAGCAGTTGACGAAAAAGCTTGTAAACTGGCAAAAGCTCGTAGTGGGAAACAAGCGAATCGGGTTGTGGCAAGCCGGAACGGCCATGGCTGCTGTCAGACCACCTGGACGGGCGAGAGCGCGATCTGGCCACCTGGACATCCCGCGCAATGCTAGCGATCCAGAGCAGAACCAGGCAATTGGCAAAGAAGCACAAGCGGAAGAGAACGATGCGTCGCGGTATCCACGAATCCTGCAAAGCGCAATCCGGCCGTGTGCTGGCGGGCGAAGGCGAACAGTTGCAAAGAAGTTCCGGCGAGGCGGGCGAATGCCGCAACCGCGGCAACAGCGGGCGCAGCGCCGAGGAGGTGCATTGCGTGAGGTTCCGGGCAGGAGCTGAAGATGAGTGCACATGTAGACGAGACGGTAAGTCGGGCGAAGCGGCGGTAGGGACGTCGCGGAAGGCGGAGCGGTCGGCGGTGCTGTAGCCGCACAGGCAACGCCGGCGGACTCGTCCAGCGACGGAACGCCCGAAAAGGCACTGCACGTAGCGCGGGGTGCATATAAAGTGGAGTTGGCGCGTGACTAAAAAGCCAAAATCAACTGCGTGAGTCCAAGTGTTGTGCCTTTACAGAAAGGAAGTAGCGGAGTTCTGTACAGCCTGCTTGTTCGGCGACAGACGTTTGGCACTCCAGCGGCCACCTCGGGCAGTACTGTGTGGACGACAAGCTTAAACAAGCTTAAACAGCAAATTAAGGAATGGCAGTGAGTAACGTTCGCGGTTTCCAGCGCGCAATTCGCCGTTGGGCACACTGAACTGTTGGAGACGCTCGCAAGGCAAGGTGTGAGCAAGCTATCAGTTTGAAATGCTGCAGGCGGTGGCGAACGCGGATCTGGAGCGGCTGGCGCAGCTGGCGTCCGTAATGGACAACCACGCGACGACTCTGGCCGTGCTGCGCAATGTGGTATCAGCGGCTTGCCCAGAGGAGGTGAAGACCGTCCAGTACATCGCACAGGTGCACACGGAGGACGGGCAGGAGGCGAGGTCGGCGATGAGGGATGTGGCCGCGGCGGCCATGTTCGACATCATTCGGCGGCATGTCCTTCATGGCTGCGCCCTGGCACTCCCGCTCCGGGAATGCGTCGTGTTGCCCAGCGCGCGTGCCAACGAGATACTGCAGGGAACGCCGGCGGCATACGGCCGCGAGAAGCACGTGCCGTGCGGCGGCACGGCGATGGAGTTCATGCGCGGCAGCGTCCTGGGCATCGTCGTGCAGGTGTTGGCCAGCACGCGCGCGTGGGCTGCAGAGCAGGGATTGCTTCGGCGGGCGGAGCATGGTTCGCCCATTGGGGACGGGCTAGTGCTGGCGGGCGGCAGCATACATAACGCGCTGCAGCCCGCGTCACAGCGATTGTCGGTGGCGCAGGCCGACGCGGACGTTTTCGTGGTGGGTGCTGTCAGTGCTGCCGCAGGCGCGCGCATGGCGGCCCAGTTTTTGGAGGGCCTCGCGCATCGCGCGGAGGTGGTGCAGGACAGCTTGCTGCTGACGGAGCGCAGCGTCAGCGCGCTGTACGTGATACCACCAGGTGCGGCTGCGCAGCACCGCAGCAGCGAACGGGCTGGCAGATGCGGGGGCTGAAGCCGCTATGTGACATGAGGTTGTCTGAAATGGTTTGTTAACATGTGAGGGGGAACTCGAACGCCGTCAGCGTCTGCTAAAGGCTGTCCCGCGTCTTGTGCCCGCGATGCTGTGCCGTGCAGGTTGCGCTGACGCGGGACGTCGTCTTCGGGTGCAGGTGTGCCTGCGCTCGTATTTGTCAACATACCACGTCCTGAACAGCTTCGACTTGTGCGCCTGCAAAGTGGCGGCCCTGCCGACCGGCGCAATCGTGGCCCATCCACGGTAAGTGTGGCGCAGGGGCAAGGGCAGGTGGGGCGGAGCAGAGGCAAGCACGGGAAAAGACGGGGTGGCTTGTGCGCTATACGCTGAGTAGGCACATGTGGCACGTTCTGAACATGTGCTGAGACCGTGGCTGCTGCGCTGTTCATGTTGCCAGGTTTGTGTACGGCTGCGCACGTGGACGGGTGCAGCTGGTGCTGCCATGCCACCGTCAGCCGGCAACTGGCGCGCGCGTTGCCAAGTACTGGGAGCGCGGGTGGCTGTGCGAGGCAATTGACGAGGCCGACGAGGGTGTGCTGCACCCGCCTGCTGGGGCGTCGGAGTCGAGCATGGGCGGCAATGTCGTGGTCGTCCGTCCCACGACCTGTTCGACGACGGACCTGCTCCAGGTCGCCCTACCGCTCATGACATCGTGGGAGGCAGCTTCGGATGCGGAATGGCGTGTAGGCAAGGTGGCCGTGAGCGTGGTGCATTCCATGATGGGAGCCATGGTGGCGCTGCCGCACGTGAAATGGAAGCACATGGCGTTTAGGTGCACAGCGTGAGGGGCAGCCCGGCGCGAGTTTGGAACATCTGCTTTGCAGACAAGGGCGACAGTGTGCATCAGAGAGGCCATGCGACGGGAACTACCTTTTATACTGTTTACACTGGTGATACTGGTTATACCTGTTATAATGTTTATGTTTCCTACGCCGGAATGCGGGGTTGGGCATGTGTGGGGCGGCATCCGGAACATGTCGGTGTGTCGGGGGATGGACAGAGGTGCGGAATGCGATAGCTGCGCAGCAGCTGGGTGACTTGTGTAGGGACTTAGGGTGTTTTGTTGGATGTGTAGAAACATGTAGGTGCCGCTAGCGTAATTGCGTGGCCAGCGAACGGGCAGAGGGAGCACCATGTCAGTTCATTGGCGAGGAAACACAGACAGGCATGGTGTGTTGGATGTTTTCGCATCGCGAAGCCGCAAACTGTTGAACGCTAGTGTGCGTGTGCAAGGCATGAAGCGCTGTCATGTGGGCGCTGTGCTCGATGCGATGGCCGGGCGGCTGCAAGCTGCAGGGACATGGACGTGTGGCTCGACGCCGAATCTCCAACAAAAATGCAAGGAATATATGACAAGATGTGGTGTAGTGTCAGTGAGATTTTGGACGCCGGTCGGTGTGGTACGGCGCCGAACATGAAGATCTGATGTGGGGGCGTAGTGGCGAGCGGCCCATAATAGGAACGCGTCATATTGAAAGGGACCATGATGCGAAGGCGTTGCAAAGAGTCGAGGGACCCTGTAAGCGTTTGTGTTCTGCAAGCAATTGACTGAGTGTTGGCCGGTCACCAAAGCTCGGATCGCCAACCATTTCAGCCTTTGCCCATCGGCGATAGAATAGAACGGATTTGCACAAACAGCAGCATTCGCCCTGTGACATCATAGTTGCACGAAGCCCGCAGTGAAGTTGTGCCGCAGCGCGCCAAAGCGGTGATGGCCCGGCGTTGGGCCATCGCGGCGCTCACCGAGCTGCGGCCTCGCTTCGAGGACAATGAGGATTTTAACGCTCAGCTACCAGCGGGCAGTTCAGCGGACGGCTGCAAGTCGCTTGGCGAACTTGTGCGGCGCGACTTTTTTCCGCGCTTGAGGGCCGCTGCTGCTTCGGCCAGGGGCCGCGTGTTGTTTGTCTGCGACTGTGTTGTAGGACAGTTGCCAGGCGGCGACGCGTGCACAGGGCGGCTGGAAATGGATTGGCGGGGCTGCAAGGTCGTCGCAGCAGCGCACACGTGCAGCTGTGCAGCAAAGATTAGGTGAGGACCTGCATGTCCATTGGGAGGGTGCTGGCAGTGTGCTGCTGCAACCAAAGCTAGTGCCGGCCTAGAGAGAAGATGCTGCGCCCCATCTGTGCAGGCCAAACGAACGAGTGGCTGCCGGTGTGCAAGTGGACCGGCCTCTGGGGTGCGCCTCTGCAGTGTCGGTGCCAGACGGGATCCTGTGGTCCGACCAGCAGAACCCGTCGCTGCCGGCCAGCATGACGGACGTGCTGGGCTTGAGAGCGCGCGGCCGGCTGCTGGATGTGCTGCAGGTGGAGCTGGTTGCGGCAGAAACACGGGTGATGTTCACGCCGGTGCTGGGCCGGGTGCCAGTAAAGCACGGCGACCTGGCAACTATGCAAGGCAAGCTGCATGACATCACAGGTCCCACTCCGGTGGTGGTGTGCGGCACCGCCCCTCAGCTCAAGCGGGCTGCCGAGGTGGCGATGGGCGAGGTGCAAGTGGGGGCTGCCAAGCCAGCTTTGAACGGGCAGCAGGTCACCTTGCTGTTTGCAAAAGTGGAGGTGCGTGTAGTATGGGAAGAGGGTCATGCGTGGACCTGTGTTAGGGCCCTGTACAGTTTGGACACGACCTAACCGGTGCACGTGTGCAGGTGGACGACCCCGCCGCTGTGGATCTGGTCCGGTCCAAGGTGGATGCGCTCGACGTCGGCCAGCTGTGGAGCAAGCTGTCTCGGCATAAAGCAGCAGGCAGTGCTATGCACAAGGTGGACATGGTTGGAAAAGCATACATCGCTACCGACAGGAGCAACATTGCCGGATGGTAAGGCAAGGAGGGTGATTTGCAAGGTGCAGCAGGCCTGGAGTGGAATGCGATGAGGGTGTGGCAGGCAGGGTTCATCGGTGATGCAACAGGTCGGGCGTTTCCAGAGTGGGCGGGGCAGCGAGGCATTCACAGGGGATGTGCCTGGCGTGCATTGTGATGGGCCAGCAGCCTTGTGCAGGCTGTGCACCCCATCTGTGCGTGCTGGGTGACCAGGTGTGTGGGGTGCAGTCAGGGAGCCAGCGCTTCTTACAGGCGTCTGATCCTCCATGTCTGTATTCCGGCAGCCTTGTTTTGGAAGACTGGCACTGCGTGGCTGCAAACTGCGAGAAGCATGCTGTGGAGGGCGGGCTGGCGCATGGGGATGTGCATGGGCTGCTGCTGGATGGGCCACCAACCTTGTGCAGGCTGTGCACCCCAGCTGGGTGGCCAGGGTACATGAGGCCTGCGTGGTGCAGTAGGCCAGCCAGTGCCACTGTACAGGTATCGGATCCTCTGCCACTGCATCCTGGCAGGCTGTTGTAGTAGCAGGATGTACAGCAGGCCTGTTATGCAACGGTAGCTGGCAGTGGAGGGAGGGCATGTGTGGGGGATGCGCCTGGTGTACGCCTAGATAGGCCACAAGCCTTGTACAGGCTGTGCACCCTATCCGGGCTGTACTGGATTGACCAGGAGTGTGCAGTGCAGCGGGTGAGCCAGCGCCTCCTACAGGCGTTTGTCCCTCTGCCCCTGCATTGCGGCAGGCTTTTGTGGGATGGGTTGCATGGAGGGGCTGCAACATGCGAGATGGAAACGGAATCGCGAGCATGGACTGAGAGGTGCTGTGATGTGTCTGCAGGTACGCGCCAATGCGCCAGCGTGATGCCGAGTGCCTCCAACCTGGCATATGCTATTCGGCCGCCACCCAGCTGGCCGAAGCCATCTACACCATGGCTGCAAAGTACTTTCCATGCATGGCGGCGCTCAGGCAAGTTGACGCGCAAGGCAGGGTGCATCCTAGGCAGGGCTGGTGGTCTGGGATGGCAGCCTGGCATGGTGTGAAGCTGCGGCATGCATCTTATGTCTTGCTCATGGCTGCAGGGAGAAGCTGGTGACATCGTTTGCCGCGTGCTATCTGCTGGGCGGCACACCTTTCAACCTGGTGGCGCGTACAAGCAATCAAGGGGTGCAGCTGCACTTGGATGGTGGAGACGGACCGCTGTCAGTGATCCTGTGGTTGCCAGCTGGGCGTGGGACCTTGCAAGGCGGGGCCTTTTGTGTGCCTAGCCTAGGCCTGCAGCTGCTGCTGAACATGACCCTGGTCGTGCTGGCGGCTGGCGCTTTGGAGCACGGCACCATCGCGCCAGTGGTACCGCCTGGCAGTGAGGCAGTGCGGATGGGCTTGTCTGCATTTGTGCGGCCCTGGGATGTGCAGCAGCTGCTGGCGCGTGCTGCAAAGGCTGGCGGGTCCCAGGAGCTGCAAGCCATGCAGGCGCAGGTGCAAGAGAGGCTGATGCAGGCAAAGACTGCTTGCAGCCGTGCGGCAGTACGTGAGGCTGCCAAGGCAGGGCGTGCAGCTGTGGATGCATTGCCGGGCGGAGCTGCTCTAGACGGGTTGTTTGAGGGCTGGCAGGCGCCTTGTGAGGCGGTGGGGCTGCAACATTACAACTTTCTCACGTGGCGCAATTTCTGATGTGGGCAGGGACAGGCCACAGGATGGTTACAGTCGTGCCCGTCCAGATGGGCAGATGGGCGTGCATCTGTGTAGGACCAAAGTGCTCTTCAAATGGCACAGCGTCAGTGGTGGCCACATAGGCGCAGGACATGCATCAGACATGGCAGAGGCTCGGATGATAGCAGGGGGGCTTGCCTCTGTCTACATGCCAAGGTGCTCTGCAAACGTGATGGCCTCGGTGGTGCCAACATAGGGTTCACGCTGTCGGCTCGGTTCCACTGGAGGGTGCAAGGTTGTGCTGGCAGGCTGTGCGACAGGGTGCACCTGCACATGGTGCGGGTCCTCCGGGGCAGGTGCAAGGTCCGCTGCTGGCTGCGATGGATCGGCGGTTGGTGCAGTTGTGTTGGCTATGGGATTCGTGGTCCACGGCAGAATGACCGGGTTGAACAAGCTAGGCGACAGGGAGCCCACGATTTTGATCAGGCGGCTCTCCGTGACACGTGACAGCATAACATACAGCAGTCCCGGCGTGAACGCATCCCGGGCATGGATGATGGTGCGCGTGGCGAGGGTTGCACCCTGCATGAGCATGAGCATTGCAGGCGAGGATGTGGGGGTGCGGATGGCATGGTTAGCAGGGGTGCTCGGACGAGTTTGGACATGCGGCTGACTATGCATGCAGGGCCAGCAAGTGTGCAGCAACAGAAGCACGCACCTGTGCACGGTGTGTTGTGATGGCCCATGCAAGGCAGAGGGGGAATGTGGACTTGAAGTATCGGACACCGTTGAGGATCTTGTAGCGTGTGATACTGCGCCCCAGCGTGATGGTCTTCCCGGTGGTTGCCAGCTGGACCTTGACTTTGTCGACATGCCCATCTGTACCGAACTGCAGCTCCGCCACTGTGCCAGTCGCGCCATTGGCAGCTCCGCGGGCCAGGGAGACATTGTCGGTTAGGCAGACACGCGCACCGACAGCCACGCAGGGCAGTGTCCGAAATGTGGGCTCCTGGAGCCATTGGTCCAGGGCCAGCATGGCGTCTGGGGCAGAGATGTTGTGGGACAGGGGGCAGGGGCGTACTTCGCCGAGGGTGGTGCCTTCCAGGCGCCGCAGAATGGCAAGGTTGTGCTGCAGCGCATCCTCCCGATGAGTGCACAGCACTGTGGTGTCTGCATCACATGTGGCAGCCACCTGCGACTCGCTGATGGTGCTTCTCGGAATCAGCACACCATGTGCACGCACCTTCATGGCGTACTTGAGCACGTAGAACGACCACGTCGCTGAGTTAATCCTCTGTATGTTCATGTGGGCGCCCCACAGCAGTGCCAGCGTGGGGTGGTACGGGACCACATTCCGATGCGCCCACGACGGCCGGTAGTACTGGTAACGCAAGGTCGCGGGGTCGATGGCAGGAGTGGACTCTCGGTATGGTGCCCATGGAAACTTGTACTTGCATACGCCAGATGCACAGCAGCCAGCATGGCCGCTAGACGAGCAGGTGTGCATCTGCTTGCGCATGACATGATGAAACAGGTTGCGCTGGCATGGATCATCAGGCTGCTGCCAGTACTCTGCTGTGTAGGGGCACAATGGATGGCTATCATCCCCACGGTACACAGCGGGTACACAGGCGACAATCTCCGATGCTGCCCGGTCCACATCCTCTGGGTGCACCCACAGCACAATGTGCGCATGCAGGCTGTGCCGGTTCTGAACCTCATAACGCACTACCCAGTTGGTGACGCGTCCTAGGGCCCCGCCGTCCTGGACTGCCCCCCGGCCTGCCTTCAGCACGTCAGTCATGAAGGACTGCACGCGCTTGTGGGCGATGAATGCGTTCTCAGCTGGGGCGTCTTGCCATGTGAAGCCAGCACAGAAGCTGCAGGCAATGGACAATGGCACAGCACAGCCAGAGCAGTGCATATCTGGGTGATGGGTGACTGATTGCCATGCTGGGCAGGGACAGGACGCGGTCAGCGCCATGCAAGGATGCTTGCCAAGTGATGCAGATTAAAGTGCGTGCGGCTTACTCCTGCAGCTTTTGCTCCAGCGACTGCACTTCGGGCCAGCGTGTGGCAGACACTTCATCGGTTGTAAGCGTGAGGAAGAACGACGGCATGCCAAAGCGGTCCACCATGCACAACAAATCTTGGAGGTTGCTGCGGTGCCATGCAGGCGTGTTGGGCAACGTTGCCGGCAGCTTGTGCTTGAGAATGTGATGGATGGCATCCTCATCGCTCGCGTTAGGGTTCTGAGACTTGTAGTCGAGGAGCGCGCTTTCCAGCACAGCCTGTACATGCAGGCGGGCATGATGGTCATGTCCTGAAGTTGTACATGCATGTTGCTGCTTGGCATCGGCGGAATCCGTGTCCAACATCCCTGCATGCATCCTTTGCAGCATCACTAGCATGCTTGCTATGCACTCACCTCTGTATTCTGCTCTTGCAGCCGGGCGCTCTGGCGAAGAACATACATGAGCAGCAAGTACGGCTTGCACAATGTCCACACACTGAAGAGGCACTTGGCACGGTATGCCAAGTACTTGACCAAGGTCGTGCCGCCCATAAATGCGCCCACACCAAAGGGAAACAGATAGGGGAACATGGCCATCTCCGCAGACAGGCCAAACTGATAGTCCAGTGGGGTCCCGTCCGCAGCAACAGCCAGGTTGAGCTCGGGCCGAGTGGGCGACCGCGGAACCAATGTTCCCGCGGTGTACATCACGGGTGCATGCTTCATGGCTGCACGCTGGATGGCAGGCACAACCACCGATATGAGCGAGCGAGCTGCCTCTGCTGCTTCTAGGGTGGCCAGCGCAAGTGGTTTGCAGGCTTGGTCACTGGCGACAAACGATTGCACATCAGCTGGACAAAGGTATGGCAATGGGTGATTGGGCGGGACTTGTTCAGCAACGGTGAGGAACTCCCTGACAAGCGGGTTGTGCTGCACGCTCCATCCCAGCACCTCCTGCAGTGCCGGGGGCAGCGTGTTGACACGGCGTGTGGAGTCGCGTGCCCAATCCAGGACCAGCGCTTCCATGCAATGCTGCTGCCGAAGCTTGCCGGCAACAAATCCAAAGGCCGCTGAAAAGAAGCCAAGTCCAACATCCACTAGGCCTATCCGCAGTTGGTCAATGGCATCCAAGGACACGATAGCCTTGGTATAGTCTGGTGGATGGAAGACCAGATACTCTGCTCGCTCATTGCCACTGTTCGCTGGATACAATGGAGCACAGTGCGGACAGGTGCCACAGGCCTTCGGGTGTTGTTGTGCTGCCGGCATGCAAGCTGTTGTGAAATGAGTATGGCGCAATGGCAGCACCGACAGGCTCCGCAGTGGCCCAGCGCTGAAGGTCCTTGTGCAGGTCGGTGCTGGTGACACCACACATGGCGCACACCACAAGTGCACCGGCCAGCAGCATGCTTGTGACAGCGCTCCAAGCCGCGAGCCGGTCAGAGATGCCAAGTCTGTGGCCGGGGCCACTGCGCCAGGATGCTCCCAAGTACCCAGGAATGTGTTGCTCAGCATCTGTTACAGCAGGACTGGGCAATGGTCCGTCAGATGGTCGATGGTGCTGCTGGCGTGTTGGCTGTGCAGCGGCCCGGCTGCGCTGCTGTGGCTGGTGCTGCTGCTGACGCCTTTGCTGCTGCTCCTGCCGCTGCCGCTGCGGGGGCTGCTGCTGCAGCTGTGAGTGTTGCGATGACTGCCGTGTGACTGCAAGCAGCCGCCGCACCTGAACCGCAGGTTCGTGCTGATCAGCCCATTCCGCCAACACCTGTTGCACGGTGACCTCAAAGCGGCTGTCCATCGCCTGCAGGACAGCACACACTTGACCAGCCCGCTCGGCTGACGGTGTTTCTGACATGCAGAGGCCAACCGCGCGACAAGCCGCGACAAGATGCTGGCGGCGTTGCCCTGTCCACACACCCGGCACCATGTCCAGCAGGCGGTAAGGCAAGGGGGCGCCAGCGAGGCCCGCCTGCCGGATGAGGCACACTTCTGTTGGCGCTGAGCTGGAGCCCCAGTAGCAGATCTGCAGCCCAGCCGAGTCAAACACTGTGATCGCAATGTTGAAAGCATGGGCAAAGACCGCCAGCTCCACATCGCCTGGCAGCAGCCGGTGCTGCTGTAGGGCTTCACCATATTGCGTCGCCGTGCAAGTGCTGGGGAGGCTGCTGGCATGGGCGTGTAGCACTTGAAAGCGCATCGACTCCCAAGACTCGGCAATGGCGGCCACCACGGTCGCCAGCAGAATGTCAGGCGCAGGCACATCAGTGGCGCCCGCGGCAATGAGGCCATGTCGCACGCAGTCCAAACACGTTGCGTGGGCATCGAGCGGCACGACAGCACAGTTGCTAATGTCGCTGCGAGCATATAGGGGCACCCGGAGATGGCCTGCATAGCAAGCATCAGCAGGGAGCCTCGTTATCAACATGATGCGTGTGGACTTGGATGTGGCTGTAAGCAGTGCCTTCAGAACAAGCCTCACTGTATTTCTGCGATGTGCTGCATAGCATGTCACACTCCGCGGATCACATGCTCACATTGGCACACACTTACCGGTGCTGCTGGATGGTTCGGCATTCCCAACGCGAACGACGGTTGGCTGTTCATCGATACGCATGGATGACATGTTGGTCGTACCGGTATCGCTGACGTCGCCACGCACGCAGCCATCGTGTGTATTCGCCACACGGACTTCTGCGGCACCCTGCACACCTGTCGATTGGGGTATTTTGCAGCAGACAGTTACGCAGCCATTGCAGCTGTACGCAATAGCAGCACATGCGCAGTGAGCCCCGTTCCCATGATGACACGCATTGACTTGTGGTGGCAGTCAGCAGTGCCTTCACAACCGCCCCAACAGCATTTCCGCAAATGCAGCACAGCCCGCGACACTCCGCAAATCACATGCCCACCCTGGCACGCGCTTACCTGTGCCGCGGGATGGCTCTACATTCCCTACGCTATCGCGGGCTGGTTGTGAATCGACGAGCATGGATGATGTGTCGGCGGTACCGGTCTCGGACACTGAGTCATGAACAGGATGGGCTGCACGAACGACAGTTGCACCATGCAGACCTGTCCAATAAGGTCATATGCAGCGGACGATTCAGCAGGCGATGTAGCTGTACTTGAACAGGCTTGGCGGTTGGAATACACTCGTCATCACACCAAGTCGCCAGGATAGGACATGTCATCAGTGTTCACGCTTACTTACTTACTGAAACAAGGCGGACTACTGTGAGCTATACCAGACAACAGGTCCTAAGCCACTGCCTCGACCTTTCCATCTTGCCTTACCCTGTAAACGCAGACCGACACCCGTCGACCAGAAGTGCGCCATGTCTTCATCTGCTGGCGCACATGCAAGCTTAGTGGACCAACTCATTTCATTCTCGGCTACCCTGCCAATGCGTACCTGATACGTTGGCAAAGTGGCAGAGTCGCTGCACCTCGGCTTGCGTGCGCACTGCGTAGGATGGTCGGCCACGCCGACCAAAGCTGCACGTGCGCAACTGCAGATGTTCCCGGTGGTTGTGCAGCAGGTCTTGAGCCTGCTGCTGGCTCAAGTCCATTCGGAGCTGCTGCAACACGGCTGCCGCAGGCACGGCCGTATGCGCAGCAAATAGTTGTTCCAGGTCAGCAGCACCGTCCATGTCGCCGACAAAACTCTGAAGCCCTTTTCTGTTTTTAAGTTTACTTGTGTTTTGGTATGTATTCTTGCGAACATTATATTTAGACACCACTTCCAACAAGGTGCTGTATACGTTGCGCTACCAAAGGCGCGACCGCTTACTTGCACAGCAGTGTCGTTTCGCTCGACGCTTTCTCTTCCTGCGGCCGTGCCTGAGCCAAGCCTTGCAAACTACGTTGCATGATTTTTTCCGTTCTTTTCATTGCGGCACAGGAGCCCCCCACATTTGCGGCCTGCATGCCGCGTGCGGCTGTGGCCAACAGCGCGACGGTCGCGCACCTCGTCCTTTCTTCGCCAAGGAAAATTATATACGCTTGTACAGGCGCATTTTGCGAATCGAAAGCGCGCATCCGCGCGGCAAAATTCGCTCCTGGCTTTTTTGGACGATGTACGAACCGTTTATTCGGCAGAGTACGACCGCTCACATTTGTGCGAGGGGCTGCTTAACAAGCACTCCACGTTGCTTGGATGCTTTAGCTAATGCCTAAAACGACAAAATATGCAATTGTCCTTGATAGTTCATAGCGTATAAAAAAAGTCAAGGCGCCCGGTTATCGTACTCATATTATCTAATCCCGCTCATCTCGCTCGCTAGCGAGCGGCAGGCAGCGCTGCCTGCCGCTGCTCACATTGAAGCTTGGCAATCATCATTTGGAAACAAGATGTGCGCCATGAATCTATATTTAGGACGCAATAGTGCAAACGCGCAAACACCATATGCGCATACATACGTAATTCCAGACGAAATCCAGACATTCAAAATCTACCCACGCATGTTAGATCGCGAACCAAACGACTTGCGACATCGGGCGACGGAGGAGGGTTCCTGATTGATGGGACATAGGTAGCATGCGGCCCATAGCGCGTGCATGCGTGTTCATGATTATTACAACTCACTTGTTTGGAGGATACTCCTCAGGCTATGCCCGCCTCTAAGGCTGAGTACGGCCTCGCATTGAGGTGTGAAGCCGATGAACAGTTGGACTACCAGGGCCAGGAGCAGTGTTGATGACGGCAAGCTGTTGCCCACCGGGGCCCGCCAAGTGGGCTTTCCCACGCCTCCTGCCGACCAACAGCGGGCATAAGCCACTGGCAGCAGCGGAAGACGCTGACCCCGCCGGAGTTCGATAGCAAGTTTGCCACCCATGTTATCAATACAAAGTAAATACGTATTGCACAGCGCGAACCTGCGCATGTATGAAGATGAAGCTAATTGTAGTCGGCGGCCGACTACTCCGCGGAGTAGTCGGCGTGAGCGCACGCACATTTTCCGACAACGAAATCAACGCCCACTTCTGGGCATCCATGGCAATACATGCTAAAGATCGCTCATATACATACAGCGATACAAACGCACTACTTACTTGCGTCTTTGATCTTGAATATGTATAGTTAGTCCGCAAAGTATGTGGGAGCTACGAAAGTGGCAGGCCTGCTGCTGCCCAGCTGCTGCTGCTGCTGCTGCTGCTGCTGCTGGGGACACAAGTCCGTTCTGAGCAACAAGTAACCTGTGTACGGGCAGGACTATAGCAAAAGATTGGGGAGGCAGGTGCTTGCTGCCTCGCTCCCTCGCAACATGTAGGAAGGCGCAAGTAGTTGATAAAAATCGGCGGGCTCGAGAAACCTTTATCAGCCATGCCGGCCAACGCCCACCACATTGCGGCCTCCCTTGACCTACAGCATGCTGGCTGGGCGCGCGGTTAGCTAACTATAGTTGGCTGCAACATGGCTAGCAAACATCATGTCGGGGCTAGGATGTTTATACGCAGCCTGAAAATCAGGAGAAGAATGCAATACTGCAAACTGAGCATACAGCTGTCGCGCCTTGCCCGTTGCTTTCTTGTCACAATCTTCGTGACAGCCAGGTCGTGACTTGCCCGTACCTAACTACCGTAACTGACATGTACGCAACCTAACCTGCCGGCAAAAGCCATATACATGCCTAGCCAATGACCTGTATTTGGATGTATCAACACAGGCAAGAGGCGCTCTATGTCGACGCGCGGGTTTGAAAAAAGTGATTGGCACAGTAATATTGTAGCTACTCTATTGAGGAATCTAGCATCTGGCTTAAGATTCATAGGTTGATGCTTCATGTATTTTTGATTTTATATAAAGCATGGGAACATCAGCAGACGGTTGTGGTGGATATTAAGAAAGGTAGATACATAGGTTTTTACGTCTGCGGCTGGAGTTTACGTTGCTAAGGTTTCTGGCAATAACGTTACCGATACGTTTTTACTGTTTATTGCTCTGCTGATGTATCAACTACGATGATAATGTTTTTACCATTGTTTAGGAGTTAAGTAGCAAGTAAATCATGGGATATTAAAGTTTCTGTCAATTTTCTATTTTCTTCTTCGAATTCTGCATATCTAGGCAGGAGAAGCCGCTAATATTAATGGGGATCAAAGCTAAATCGGATTCGACAAGCTCTAATAGTCGTTCTGTTTCTAAAACCACCTGTATCTACTATTACATGTGAATGACTTCCGTTAACCTATAATAGTTGCCACATGTTCAGATAAGGAGCTGCTGGTAGACGAATTATTAAAAAATCGACATGCTTTGCACATATGGTTACTTCTTTTTTCATATGTATGACCTTGGCTTGCATACCAATGCCTATTAAAGAGTGGTCAACACTCATTTACCTGAATTGTGATGTACGAGAAGAATCACCGATACGGGCCGCTGTCGATGATCATGATCAGGCGGTTTTCAATTATGCTTTGCACCTTTCTTGGGTATAAGCCCTTTATTAGCACTAGCTTGCTGTGGTTATTGGAATATAATGTTGGGTCGGCCCGCCTAGGTATGGGATCAGAGCGTGTAGGGACAAGCAAGCTCACCGTTGCACGTTGGTGACCAACGTGCATATGCACGCTTTTCATGCTTTTCGTCGACGATGCATCCCTAATGGCAACCGGGCATGCGCGCCCAGTCGTGCCTGATCGGTTTGCTATATCAGTATTGTCGGGAGACTGCCTTGGTGACACATACCACCAAGTGTAAAACACTCATCTTTAGGGAACAACACGTGAGTGGTGCATGTGGCTGATGGAGGCAACTGTGTATTCGTTGGGTGGGAGCTGCACGTGTTGACTAGGAGTGAGAGACCATGCCTTGCCTCGGGCTGCATTACGGTCTGTGTCAGCACTTCACTGCCTGCACACAGCAGCTGTTAGCCATGGGGAAGGCCGCTGCAAACAGCCGCACCTTGCAATGCCTGACTGAAAAGGTGGTCTTCGTTCCGCACGCTGCATTTGAACGAGTGGTCGCTAGCCGGAGTATGGCAGCTAGCCGCTGAAAAGGCGGCCTCTCAACATGCTGGCGGAGCGCTTTGGCGCTTATTTCAAATAAGCCTTATTACGGTCCCTCCTTATCACACGAGGGCGTCACCTGAAGGTGATAAGGTGAAACCTTTTTACTTTGACCATATAATGTGTCCTGTAGTATGTACTATAGCTATTATAGTGCATCAGCGGTCGCACCCCAGCACACATCAGTACCGGGCCAAATGAATCGTGTGTTCCACTGTGCAAAAGCCTTTTTCTAATCAGCCCCTCACAACCTGATAAATAACCCGACGTGCATGTCCTGGCCGACATATGCATGCGCTGTGGCCACTACCATTCATTCGGCATACTCCGCTGGATGCTAGTGGTCTGCGGGATCCACCATCAGGTATGTGCCCTGCAGGGCGGTCGCGCCGCGGCTGCCAAATCCCAATGCCCTCACCCTCTGGTCCAAGTTGCGTAGCGCCGCCACCCCGTCGGCCACTCTGCAAACCCAGCTATGGCCTCCAGAAACCGCGCCGCGTCCACTCCGCTGACGGCGCCACGCGACAGCGCCGTACGAATGTACGACATGTACGCTTCAGCGAAGGCACGGTCCATATACCGGCCTGCCCACGCGATGACGGCAGGGTCGCCTCAGTCGCCGTGACGGTCGTATGACCGATGCGGTCCCGCCATACCCGCATCCGTCCGAGCTGTCGCTGCCTCCCGCGCCCGCCGTACCGCCCACTGCACCGGGTAGCCGCCGGCGTCGCGTTGGGCCTCCTTCTTAAGAAAGGGTCCAAAGCCGCGCGGCACTAGTCGCGCCGTCGCGCCCAATGCCCGCGCCGCCAGATGAACCTAGCTAGTGGTATGTCTAGATATCTACGTTGTCGTAATTAGTTGCTAACTTGGCGTGGGTGAGAAGGATGCGTGTGCCCTGAAATATTCATTGGAAAGGTTTAGGCCTGACAGGCTGAAGGCCACGGTTGAAGATGCAGCCCCCCACATGTACAGATCCCTACTTTACAAAATCACACCGTGTACGGCAATTACCTTCCCTGCCATGCCAATCGCAACTGCTGCTGTACAACCGTTCTGAGGTTTTTGAGCAACCAAGCAACATCCGACATACGGCATACGATATACGACAGGCGGCTGGCAGAGGTTAAGGCCTGACTTCTGCTCCCAGCCGAACCGGGTTCAAATCCGCCTGCCGACCTCTCGGGTGTTTGAGAGGTGGCGAAAATGGGAGGTGGCCCGCCATCTTGTGGACGATGTAGGACGTGATAAAATCAACTTGCGAGCTGAACAAGAACTAAGTTGAGGCGCCGTTGATCCGCTAGATTTGGTTGGATGCTGGTGGTGAGTTGCCAAACTCAAAGAGTACACTCTGAAGTCGGATGGGGTGAATGGACTAGGGTGCCCCTCTAGCAGGGGAGAGCAGGGAATTGCCTCCAAGGGAAAGGGGGCCACTGGTGAAGCTTAACCACCCTGTAACAACATCAACAAGTGCAGGGGACTGCCTCGGGAAAGGGGGCCGCTGGTGAAGCTATACCACCCTGTAACAACATAACACATAACGTCTACAAATATGCGCTAAGCGTGTCCACCAGCATCTCAAGAGGCCTTTTCAGCGGCCAGCTACTACAATACATGGCAAGCACAACCAACAACCACACAATTCCTGCTTCGATGCGTGTGCACAGATAGATAGATAGATAGATAGATAGATAGATAGATAGATAGATAGATAGATAGATAGATAGATAGATAGATAGATAGATAGATAGATAGATAGGGTAGTTAGATAAGAGCTGTCGAGCTGCTATACCTCGTACCATCAATGGACTGAACTCTTCGACTGACGATTAAGGACGCACAAAGGATCATCAACCAAAAACATCACGAACTATGAGACGCAAAATCTGTGGCATATGATGACGCCGTTGAGCATTAGTCATATGTGCTACTATTGAAAGACTCATTATGCGTGCGTTGATAGATTTATAGATCATCGATGAGTGATATCATTCCCACCACATGTGCATGTGCATGTGCATGCACGCACTGCTGCGGCCGCAAATATATATTGTATGTACGCATGTAGCGCATTCACAGCATCACCATGCATGGCATGGAGCATGTTGCCGTTTCCGCCGCCTCCGCCGCTTCCACCATTCTTCTGTCTCTGACGACAGCGTCATCCCCCGTTTACTGTCGGTCCATCTAGACACACAAATGCATCACGGCGGACAACTACTGCCGCTGCTCTCGGTAACCTGTAAACTCATTTGGATTCATTTCCTGTCCTTGAATGCTAATACCACCTGCAGTACCACCACCTGCAGTACCACCTGCTGATCCACCTGCTGAACGACTTGGTGACCGTCCGATGGAGTGGACACACCAGCCGGAGGGCGGGTGTGATGTATAGACGATCGAATACTGTACAGACGACGTTGCCCCCACTACAGTGCTCCTGCCATTGCTGCCACCGCTTGTTGTCACCACTACTGCTAATATTGCCTGTTGCTGTTGTTGCCGTTACTACCGGCCGTTGCCGATACTGTTGTTGTTGCCGTTACTACCGGCCGTTGCCATCACCGTTGTTGTCGCTTTTGATATTGTCATTGCTGTTGTTGCCGTTGCTGATCACCGTTGCCGTTACTGTTGTTGTTCTTACGGGCCTGGTGCTGTCTGACCGCATGTTTCAGCCAGGGGTGTCGTAACAGCTGTACGGCAGTGGGTCGGTCGCCGGGACGCTCCGTCAGGGCGCAGCTGATGAAGTCCCGGCCCCCCGCCGACACGAAATGGGGAAAACACAGCTCCCGGGGGAAGGGGGGCCGACCACCGCCACCACCACCACCGCTGCTGCTGCTGCCTCCTGCGGCTCCTCCATGGCCGCTGAAGTCGCCGCTGTCGTAGTTGTTGTTGATGAAGGGCGGGAAGCCCACCAGCATCTCGTACGACAAAACCCCCACGCTCCACACGGCGGTGGAGTAGGCCAGCTCCGGGTCGTCCTTGTTGTCCTCGGGCAGCAGCTTGAGGGGGCAGCGCTCCACCTCGGGCGCCTGAGGGGTGAGAGGAAGTGCAGGGGGAGAAACCCGTGGAAAACACACATACACACACACATACATACAGTCAGGCAGTAGGTAGGTAGCCAGGCGGGCAGGTAAGCTAAGGAGGCAGTCAAACAGGCAGTCGAGTGTCGTACATCTTCGGGTTGGCAACAGCAGTAAAACCATTCAGGCATGTGGCCGTTGTGTAACTGTCTTTTCATATTGGAACCTTCACTAGCACTACAACTACAACTACTACAACTACTACAACTACTACAACTACTACAACTACTACAACTACTACAACTACTACAACTACTACAACTACTACAACTACTACCAGAATTGTCAGCACACGTGCAGGCATAAGGGGGAAAGTGTACGGCGGCGGGATACAATACCACGCTGATACAAATATCTTATCTCATTACGACAGGGGTGGGAACCCCCCCGGAGTGAGAATGGGCCAAGTACGAATGAATCCCCCAACGCCTAGAAGGTCTTCCTTCTTTAATTTTGACATCAGAAGAAAACATTTTTTCAAAAAAAAACATTTTCCCTCGGCGCCGGGGGTGCGAAAATGTTCATTGGAATAATGAATGACAGAAATAACAAGCTGTATGTGACCTGCAACCGAGGAGATATATTTATTAACCTTGGCCAAGGGCATGTACAGTAACGCCGCCAACCAACAAACCAACTGAATTAACAGCAGCTAGTCAACCACCAGTATCACGTACTCAGGCTGTGCGAATGTGCGATTAAATATTTGTCATCATCACGGCCGGCTGGGCACTCTCCCAACATCTCTCATGCCGGCTTCCTTCGATGCGGAAGGAAGAGAGACGGATACATGAATCGGACATCTACACACGCTATACCTTCGACGTAAAATAACCAATGAATACGTACGGCATCCGCATACCAAGCAGATAATAAATAACATTTCGTACAAACTAACACTCGCAATAGTGCGTGAACGCACCATGTACTCCACTGGTAGGTCCACGTACAGACGTACATGTACGGAATGTGCGGCGGCCGTGTACAACGAAGCGACGGTAGGCACAGTAGTTGCCAGGTGGTGGATTTGTACGGCACCAGGAGTTGTACGGCACCAGCAACGGCGGTGGCGGATGCAGGCAGAGGAGGACACGGGGATGTCGATACCGTTACGTCATCATCATTGTCGTGACGCACCGTGATACGTTGGTAGTTGGTAGTTGTAGTTGTAGTTTTGAGCAGTCCAACAACCCATGCAAGGGCCATGTGGGGGGGCGGTAATGGCGGCGGAGCGAAAGGTAGGAGACGAGGGAGACAGGTAAGGTCTGAGGGGAAAGGTGTGGGAAAGGAACTGCTGTCTGTCAATAGCACCGAAGGCAGCCGGGGGGGAAAGACGAGCCACGTGAACGAGTGAAGCTGCTGCCCCAGGGCAAAAGAGTGTACCAGGCGTTTAGGACTGACCAAAAGGCGTTCCCGGGGGGGCTGCGGTGCCAGGAAGGGAAGGCGGTGTGGCAAGTAGGCAAACAGACAGACAGACAGACAGACAGACAGACAGACAGACAGACAGACAGACAGACAGACAGACAGACAGACAGACAGGAAGGTAGGCCGGCAGGGGCGGAGGTGAAGGCCCAAATGGGTAGATAGCCCCGTAATTGGGGATGTCAGAAAGGATGTCAACCGCTAACGGTAATGGCACCAGCTCTACCGTTTTTTCCTAAAAAAGCACTGAAAAGCACTCCTTGACATACATACAAACATACACACGCTCATCATGACACGTTTGTACAACCGTCCACCCGCTCAGCCACACATACACACGCCACGCCAAGTCACGCCACGTACTTGTTCCCGTACGTGTGACTGCCCGCTCATGCACCATATTGATGGCGGCTCCGAAGTCCGCCAACCGCAGCTGCCAGTTGGTGGTGAGGAGCAGGTTCTCGGGCTGTGGGGGAGAGGGAAAGGGGGAGAGAGAGGAGCTGAGGGGGAGCCCTATGTTGTGAGAGGGTGCGGGTGGTATGGGAAGGGGGGCCCAACGATGGGGGGTTCGGGGAGAACCCTTAGGCACCGTGGCACACATCTTCGTGGAGGGTGTCCAAGCAGTTTTGGGAACGGCTTTTTCGTGGTGTAATATTTATTGGTAGCTGAAGTAAGGAAGGAGTGGTGGCGGTGCGTGAGAGGGCCCTGGGACCACCCCATCGGGTGTGGGTGTCGGCGCATTACTTGACAAGTACGGCACCCGTACATTATGTTTCAGGAATCCCGTATCATAATATATCTTTACGCACCTTTATGTCCCTGTGGCACACACCTTTGCCGTGCAAGTACGACAGGGCATCAAGTAGCGGCGCTAGCACCAGCACCCGCAGCTGGTCTTCACTCATACGGCAGTACGGCATGCTGGACCGTACGGCAAAGAGGTCCCCACACATCGCCCGCTCCAGGACCAGCACCAGACGATTGTCTTCCTGAAAAGCGCAAAACGAAACCGTTTAGGGACACGATGCCGTGCCTTATCTTTTAGGTTTGTCTACAGCTGTATAATATTTCCACTTCTAGACACAATATTACTATACTTTTGTCGTACAATGGGTTTACCGTACCTCAAAGACGCCGTACAGGGTGACTATGTTGTTGTGTTCCAGGTCTGTGTGTATGCGCACCTCCCGTACGAGGGTATGTACGGCATTGTGGGGCACCCGCGATATTAAATACACCTTGAGCACCACGGGAAGGCCGCTACGTCGACACACGGCCTTTCACGGCAGGGAAGGAGACAGGAGGGGGGTTGGAGGGGGCAGACGAACCACGTGAACGAGTGGAGCTGACGCCACGGGAAGACTGATGATGCGTCAGAAGTAAAGAAGGCAGAACTAACCAGTCGGCATTGTGAAGAAGAGGTCCTTGCAATAATGCAGCCATGACGATAGCGGAAAACTACCTGCCTAGTCGCCAAGACTATAATTAAGTGCGGAAAGAAAGCAGGAAAACCATCTGTAATATTCTAAAGGTACGGTGTAAAGGCGGCGAAGCGCGAAAACTGACGTGCGTTGAGAAAGAGGCCGTAGAAGGAGGACGTAAGCTGGAAAAAAATGTGTTCGCCAGCCTGGCAGCGGAATCGAGGAACCTGGACAGAACTGGCTGATAAGCTGCTGGTAATCAGCTGCTGGTGACATGCAAGTGCTCCTCCCAAACCCCCAACACGCCCCTGACCCGACCGACCCGAGGGGGGTTGGGGGGTTCGGGGGGAAATGCAGAGAAAGTGTTTTAGGGGAAACACAGGAGGCTTAAGCCCGCGTACAATCTGTTTCCTACGTACGTCCTACCGTCCCCACACACCCGCCCCAAAACACACCTTGTACACGCACGACACGTCGCCCTTGTACAACCGGCCCCCGATGACGTAATCCGATAACCGCCACAACGGTCGCCTCATGGATGCGGGGCTGCTGGAAGGTACGGCAAGCAACATGCGACTACTGCTGCCGCTACTGCTGTTGCTACTAGAATCGCTGTTGCTTGGACTGATGGAACTAATGGCTAACTGGCTTTGGGGGCTATCGGCGTTGGTGCGAATGGTGTTCGGGGGAGGGGAGGGTGAAGAGAGGATTGAGGCCGATGCCACAGATTCCACGGCTGCCGAAGTCGCCGAAGACATCAAAGAAGCTGGACAGGCCATTCTTGGCGCCGCTGTTGTCGCCGCCTCGGCCAATATGATACTTGAATACCTTTCAGCATTCGCTGTAGCAGTAGCAGCAGTTGTAACAGCAATAGCAGCTGTCGGTGCGTCTGGCGCTTGATTTGTAACTGGGGCCGCCACAGCGTTTTGTCCGCTGTAGGGTGAGCGTCGTGCAGTGGCTGCGGGGGAGACTGAAGCCGAAATTGGGCTCGTACCGGCAGATGTAGCATCCAATTTAGCATTGGATTTGGATTTAGCATTGGGCAGGAACCAAAGGCTTTTGAGGAGGTGGAGGAGCGGTGGCGAAGCGTTAAAGCTGCAGGTGGGCGTGGCCTTCCCAGCCGGGGACTGCGCGTCGGCCGACAAAGGATGAGGAACAGCGCGGTTGTCAGAAGCAGAAATATCACGCTCAGTGACTGTAACAGCAGATATTGAGTGTTGAGTTCCCTGCGGTCCAACGCTGTTGGCAATAGCGCCTGTGGAGAACGGCGGCACGCAAAGGTCGACATTGGGCACAGCTGAGAGCGCAGAAGTGGACTCCGATGGTGCCAGATTTCGCGAAGTAGAACGTGTTAAGATGCGTTTTGGAAAGGACCGCACTGGGTTGCAAACTTGCGCCTCGTGCATGAGCAATGGCATGCTCGTTGTGTGACGAGGGAGCGCCTTTGATGCTGGTGATGTGCTGGATCCTTGTAGGGATGTCTGATCCTCTTGTTGGGCGGCAGCAGCAGCTGCTAAGCTTTCTGGCGGAGCGCTTGGACTTCCCTGCGAGTCCCGAAGCAGGGATGAGCTCCGCGCGATCGATCGTCGCAGATATGACATAATTGTGTTCGCCCTGCTTTGGGACAAGTCCTCAGAATAGCACCCATGGACACAGGAGTCTGGTTTTCGATTCGCTGGGCCAGCTGTTTGCGTCATATCTCGTCGTGTAACCCCTTAATATTGCCCTATTGTGAGTTTGTTATACAATGTTCTCTTCATCGGATGCCTCAAGGTTGGTATTTAGATTCCTCCACGAACGTTGCGGCGGGCACAAGTTGCAAACACCTGATGTAGGTATTTGCGAATCCCATAGGCTAGATTTGTCAAGTAAAAAAGGCTGATATAAATCACAACATTTTGAGAGTTAAGAGCTACATTTAGCCCTGCTTATGATACACGGATCCATTACGGCATGACAAATACGTACCGACACGTCACAATCCACAATGTTATCCCTAGGCCATCGTATATACAAGCGATACGCCAGACGCAAAATCATTAGGATGTTGAAGCGCCGTTGATTATAGCAGTTGACTTGAATGTGTACGAGTAGTTGGGATACCGGCGAATCTCCTAAATCTTGGATAAATCCTACAGAAATCAATTCGACGTGCCCAAACCAGTAGCTACGAGCATAGGACATAAATAACTGAAAGTAGTCGTGCAAACCATTTCAGGCGATGACGCTGAGCGACCGCCTAAGCAAACTGTAAACGCCAGGTCTGACCAGGCCAAGCCGCACGTCGGCCATAACCAAGATCATCTCACGGTGCTAAAACCCTTTGGATAGACATATTTTTAATCACTCCCCCGCCCTTGCACATAATGGCCCAAACGCTGGATTGCCGGTACCACTTACCATGCCGGGCCAAATCAGTGTCCATGTCAGTGTCACTTTCTTTAGCTACCGATACATATCGCAATTTGCCGGTACCAACAGTCCTCGGCTCTGCTGCTATTGTCTGTGCCGCTGTTACCCACAACACGATTTTTCCAAATTCGCCGTACACGCAGTAATTTAAAAGGAATCAATCCCTTTCATGAAATAAATCGGGGTTTGAGGCCCTATCCGGGTAAAGGAGCGGATTTACGTCCGGCTGGCCGCACATATTCATAACTTCGGCGAGGAAGCCTTCGTCCGCCAAAGCACCGGCTCAAACGTGGGGGGGATGGAAGGGATAGTCCTTGGAATTTAGAACACCCCGCTCGCCTCCCGAAGGTCATGGGAATACTAGGAGCTATCCTGACCTGAGGCCAGACACGGCGAATATTAGGTGCGCTACTACGAAGGTTTGTCGTCGCGGGGAATCACCAAAGGCCCAGGGCCCGGCTTTGCACATAACTTTGCAACCTATCGTTGGTCTGGAAGGGCTGAGCCCCCCGAGTGCCCCACAGTTAAGAAATCACTTAGTTCACCAGCCTGGCTGAGGAAATCATGCCTTGGTTTGGAATCATATCGATCCTTTTCCCCCTAAAAACACATTAACGCTGCGTACATGCTACTGCTGCCGTCCACGCGCCAGGGTATCGCTGCTGCCAATGGCGGCGCTGCTGCAATTGCCCATGAGCATCTTCCCTGCCCCCCCTTGCTACTATCACAGCTGCTACAGCGTATCATCATAACCAATACGCCACTCCAGTGCAGCTACAGAACGGCTGCTACAGCACACCGCCGCCCTTGCACCGCTGCCGCTGCCGTCTCAGCTTGTTGTGTTTCTTAAACTAAAACACTACAGCGCTGCCATGGAATAGTGCATCGCTGTAGTGACCCGGCGGCCGCCGGCGCACTGCCGAGACGGGACTCCTGCCACTGCATCGCCGTGTGCTACAGCGCCTGCCGCTGCTACTGCTACAGCACTGTTGCTACTGCCGCTGGCGTTTGTGTTTTTCAATGTACCTCTCCCACCGCGAGTGGTCCAGCTCCTCCAAGCTGTCCAGGGGGGCTATGGCCGCCAGGTACGCCATAAGGCCCAGCAGCTCCCTGTCCGACCCACGGGTCAGGTGGGCCTTACGGAAGGGCCTGATCACCAGGCCCTGCTGAGGGTTCATGATGTAGTTGCGCCTGGCAGGGGCAGGGGCAGGAAGAGGAGGAGGAGGAGGTTGCCGCTTACTTTGTTTCAATCTGTATATCATAAATATGCCGATGACGATTATCACAGTGCCGTACGTAAGGTCGGTAGTGTCCCAACTACACGTCGAGGGGTCGGGGGGGAATAGGCGGGGCTGTCTGGAAGGGGGCGCCAGTTTTGGTGGATGGCAGGATGGCAGAATCAATCAGCGGAATCTGTCGCGGGATGCTCCAACCCGTTAACATTCATTTACATCCCCAAGTGCACATTCCTCCTGTTGCTGTTCCCTTTTGGTGCTTCTGATGCGCTTCTGATGCTGCTGCTCCCTTCTGCCAGTTCCGCACCTCGATACGGAGGATGCGGAGCTTTACAACAGCTGACATCCTGCTGCAGTATCCACCCACTCCTAAGCAGCCATCCCATCCCTCGCACTACAACTACTCAACCAGCTCCCTACTAATTCCGATTTGTCAAAATCTCCCTCCGTTTCCCCCTTCCCCATCCCCTGCTGAGATCTACAGTCCTCCAGGCCCCCCCCAACTCCCACATCACCCCCTTCACCCCTCCCCTTCACCCCTTCACCCCTCTCCTCCTGCCATATCACGACTTCAGAAAAGTACTACCGATCGGTGGATGCAGACCCCGTGACATGCCCAGAACACTACACCTTCCCCCCCAAACCACCCCACCACCCCCTCCACCCCCCCAACCCCAAGTGCCACCAACCCACTTAAGGTCATCCAACATGATGGTGTTGGCTTCAGTGTACTGTCCGGGAAACTTCTCCCAAATGAACTGCAGTGTACGACAATGTACGGCAACAGAAATGGGTCAGCAAGCGGGAGCCGCGTGTATAGGGTGTCGGGGATTGGGTAAAAGGTACCGGCAGCAACATCAATGGCAGCTGCACTACCACCAGCACTACCAGCCACGCAGGCTCAAGGCCTCAATAGGCAGGCTGCCCCACAATGCATATGGTCCTATGGCTTTCCATTCCACGTGGGTCGCGGATGATGTCCCGTACAGGACCGCTTCCCGTGACGGTCCCCCCAACACCACCACCCCTCCTGGTGGGCCTCTGCGGATTGCTTCCAGTAGCGGCTGCTGCTGCTGCGGGGCCGGGAGCGGTTGGATAGTAATGCCGTGCTAGGTGAGTTCATTGGGTTGATGCCTTGCTCGGCCTTGCTCCTTATGTCAAGGTTTTCATCATCACGCCGCTGGAAACCGTTTTACAATTCGTCAAGGTTCGTTAGGATAGCATAACCCTATGCGCTTTTCCGAGACGCCGCTGCCGTTACTTGCGTATAAATGCCGTGCGCATGAGACCGCCACAACCGCCGCCGTACCTGTAGCGGTTTGCAGTCGAATACGCCGTATTTTTCTGTATGTACGGTAACCATAGCGGTGTGGTCCAGCAGGCAAACGATGTTGTAGGCTGGGTTGCCCAGAACGCCCAACTCCTGATTGGTTAGTTGTCGTTAACAGTGGTTCGTTGGTTAACTGTTGATCAGTTGGTCGCGGTTGTGTGCGGACCCGCATGGGGATGGTAAGACCTGTTGTCTACGGCGCTTGCCACACGCTGTTGGTGGAAGTTGTTTACATACATACATACATACATACATACATACATACATACATACATACATACATACATACATACATAGTCCCAAACTGTGACTTCGCGCAACTGTGCACATGCCGTACACGTTAACATAAATTGTACGATATTGTACATAAACCGTGTGTGTAACAACCCCAACCTCATCGCACAGTACCGCACCTTCATCTTAACCTCCACCCACTTTTTACTGGTGGCTGACCAGATAATTATGTCGTACGATTCGTACGCTGACGTCAGGAACTCGTGAAGGTACGGCCGTGCGAGCTCCTGCCAAAGGTGATGGCCCAGGCCACTGAAACGCTCAGCCAACAATACCGTAAAATGTAATTGACAATTAAGTAACTTTACCATCCACAAAGAACACAGCTGAGAAAGGCCCAAGCACTTCTGCACCACCCATTCAAGAGCAACCCACCCGCCACCCAACCCACCGCGACCCTGAGCACTCCCCCTCCCCCCTCCCCCCCCTAGCCCACCCACAACCCACCTCGGGCCGCTCTGCCGTAGACCCCAGGTCAAATATGGTGTAGTCGATATCTATGACCAGGCACTTCTTGCCCGGGCGAGGTGGGGACAGAATCTTAACTTCCACACTCTTCAACCGCCGAGCCAACTTATCCTGCGAGGTGTGCGAGGTGTGAGGGGTTGAAAGGTGGGCGTGAGGTGAGCGTGTGCATGTTGAAGGTCTGTGGGCCCCTAGCTCCCTCCCAGTCCCCACCCACGACCCACTCCCCCACCTACCGGTAACTCCCCTACCCGGGATGCACCGAAGCGAAACGAGGACTGTCGTACCGCCAGTATGCCCCGAACGCTGCATATGTCCCTCACCCGCATTCCTCCTCCTGGCCCGAACAGCCCACCCGCCACGGGTCCCCCCCTACTACCTGCACCTCCGGTCGGTCCTGGACGGCGATGTTCGCCACTGACTCGTCCGCCCCAATGTCGAAGTCGTCCTGTGTCGGGTGGTGGGGGGCCCACGGCAGTTGGCAGTTGGAAACCATTTGAAGGGCCCCGGCAGGTGGGAGCCATCGCATGCAAAAAGGAAAATGTGAGGACGTGAGGTGGGAGGTGAGAGGTAGGAGTTGGGAGGTAGGAGTTGGGAGGTAGGAGCTGGGAGGTAGGAGCTGGGAGGTAGGAGCTGGGAGGTAGGAGTTGGGAGGTAGGAGCTGGGAGTTGGGAAGAGAAAAAAGACGACCGCCGATGGGGAATCCCTCGGCAGGGGCCAAGCAGGGGAGGGTGGGAGGGTGTGGGGGGGGGGCTTCCAGGACGTCCCGGAGGAGGGAGATAACAGAATAGGGGGTTTAGGAGACGGAGACGGAATGAGTGGACAGGCGGGTTTTGAAAGGAACGGAAAGGAAAGGAAACAGAGCCAAGGGGAAACTGGGTTTCTGAGGGGGGAATGGGGCCCCCATCTCCATAAGCCCCACCTCACCTGCATCTCGGGAGCCGCTTCCGCCTCTTTGACGGTGGCGACTATGGCCGCTTCCGGTGTACTGCAAAAAGGAAAACGTTGGGTGCCAAGTAAGAGCTGTAAGAGCAAAGGATGGGTGGGGTGCGGGATTTGGGTTTACAGGTAGCATTGCAGCCCAGGATAATTTGGTCGTTGTGTTGGACAGGTGGTTTGGAGTCTGGGGATCTGGGGACACAATGCGAAGCGTGGAGGTGAGGTCTTGTTCTGCGTGGCCAGAGGAATGCAGTGAGGCAGAGTTTTTCACAAGACGGGCAGGAAGTGAAGTTATTTCTAGCTCAATGACAAGTATTCGTGCGCCGTACGTTATCAGCATCTAAGGAAGCGCTAAATATCCTAATTGAGGTCCAGGGACGTGGGGGAGTGGACGACTCCTGTGCCGTACTCGTGCATTCGCACGAAGTCCTCTGAAGATCTGCAGCGCAGCGGGAGGAGGAGCTTTTAGCTTATGTGACCACGCACCCCATCATCATGAACTTGACGTTGGGCTTGATCTGAAGCTCCCCAACCGAAGATTCATCTGTCGCCTGCTTCCCATCCTTGGTCTTGAGCCCCAGAATCTGCCAATCAAGGCCAAAGTAGATTTTATGTCTGCCTTTACATGAAGTCCAGAGGCTGACGTGGTGTATCAGGTCCCTCCATACTGGACCGAACCAGTTTCCCTTCACCTTTTGCCGCTTTGCAAGTACGTTCGTCTCGCTTTCAAGCTTATGCTTTAGCTGCAGTACCGTTTCTGTGGGATCCAGCTTGACGACAAACTCCTTTCCGCTCCATTTGATGCCGATTTCTACCGACATCCCTCACCGCCCAACGAGTAGTGTCTATGTGCAGGTTAACTAGCTGTGGCGAAAGTAAATACAGGATAGAATGGACTGAAGTCGAACTAGTCCTTCAAATTTGAAGCGAGATTAGCAAAGGTCTGAGGACTATAGCGCCATGTCCCCCTTCGTAAGGCACCATAAGTAAAGATGTGACCTTTACAGAAAATTGGCTGTCGATTGTGTATCGGAATAACAAAACTTGCAAAACATGCCAATCCAACCGAAACAACTGTGCTGGCGGGAAGGCCGAAAGCCAACAAGCCATGACTTCTTACGGGCAAATCCAATACGTACACAATACCGTCTCTCACATCTCGTCCTATACTCCCACACTCCTACAATAAGAGGCGGATAATGCCCGTCTTCGCGCACTTTGCGCTGCTTTTCGTGCTTTGCAGGCTAGCAGATGCTTGGCACCCAGCACGATGTTGTCAACTGTCCGAGAAGGACATGCAACTAAACGACCAGCCAAAAATTCGAAAAAAACGAATTATTCAGGGAAATTATCAAAACATCCAACATTTACCGTTAACTATGCACTAAACATCCAACCGATGAAAAATAAACATGCTCCTAACGCCCTTCAGCCCAGACATCCCAAAACTCACCTAGTTCGCCCACCGCTTGGCAGCAGAGGGCACCTGCAGGGTGTTCGTTGCGTTGCATAGCAACCTCCTGCACAGTCGCCGTTTCAGACCAATTCATAAAGCAGACGCAACACACACACACACACACACACAAACACACACACACACACACACACACACACAGAAACCTGCACACACGATTGGATACATTGGTACTGTTCTCTGGACGTTCTGATATAGGTAGCCGTGGCCCACAGTTTTTGCACCCCTTTGCCCACAATTTAGGACAGCTCAAGCAAACAACTAACCTGTTGTCATACCCTCCTATCACGGAACCAACCGATTGGGCGATGGTAAATCTCCACCAGCCCCCCTTTCCCCCCTTTCCCTCTTTTCCCTGGGCCGCCTCCCCCTTGCGTTCCCCACCCTTGCCCCCATCCGACCCCTTTTTAGAAGGGGCTCCACTTCCCTGCCTGTCACAATTCTCGTCATACAAAACCCCTATCTATGACAGTTCCACCACCATTTCCTACATTCCACCTCTGCAAACAGGTTCCACCTTGAGGTAGCATATCAAGCATATCAAGCATATCAAGCATATCAAGCAGGTATATAGTCCCTCCCTCCACACCAGACACCGCCTGTGTCCGTTCTCTAGCACCCCGCCGCCAACACCCTCCCTTCAACCCTGGTGGCCATTTTCATCGTCCTGGTCACCTCCACACCTCTCAATCCGCCAAGTCCCCTATAAACCCACCATCGCACCACAGCTGCCGCCGCCGCGGCGGCGGCGGCGGCGGCGGCGGTAGCGGCGTTGACGGCCGAATCGTACCGCTGCTGCCATTTTTCCATCAACACTATTCTTGTCATCCTCGTTTTGGTTTTGGTGCCCAACGGCATTGGCGACGCCGGCAGGTTTCCGGCCGCCGCCGCCGCCATCGGCGGTGCCGTCATTGCCATTACACCCATCACGGCCGATAACAACGGCGGCGGCCGCGGCGGCGGCGGCCGCTGGTCTTGATGTAGCAGCTCTTGGTGTTGTTGCCTGATTAGGATTTTGAAGTTGGAGCTGCTCTAGGTGCACCCCAAGGGCCAGCTGTCGTGCCCTTTTGAAATATTCGAAATTGAATAGGAAAACGCGGGGTGAAGAAATGGCGGGAGCGATGTGTGGATGTATCGGTGTGAGCATACGGACCATCCTTGCGGGCTGAATATAAAGCCTGTGATGGAGGAGTGCCGTACATGTACGGATGCGATGACTATTCATGCGTTACTGTCAGTAAGTGGTGATTTTGGAAGGTAATGTACGACAAATACATATGTGCCTTGCCTGGCCACGGGAGCTTATGTGGTGCTATGTACGACTCACGAGGGCAGTACGGCAAGCAGTGACCTCCCCAGCCGCACATCATAGAGCCGTAGCCGTCGCAGCTTCCACCTCACCCCTCCTTCCTTATCTGGCTGCTGTTGCTGCTGGCCCCCAGATTTCCCCTGTGTGGGTGCGTGTGCATGGGCGCGACGAGGACATGTCCGTTGCAGTACATGTGTACGATGTACGACGGGTGGGGAATGAGAAGGGTGTGGTTGCGGGGTGAGGAGACCTTTTCGCTACACGTGTGCATTTTTGTGTGTATGTATGTAAGTGTGTAGGCGTCAAGACCGATGATGAGAAGACCAATATCTTCATCCCGCTTTGGTACGACATGCGTTACCTCGAGGCGGCGCAGTTGCGGCAAAGGGACCGCCAGCATGGATACGACAACATCACGTGCTGCCGCCGCCGCCGCCGCCGCCGCCGCTGGCGGCGGCGGAGGCGGCGATGCCATCCCCAGCCCCAACCCTGCCGCCGCCGCATTGTCGCTGATCAGGCTTGCCGGCGTCCCGTACAGCGCTCCAACCCTGGGCTAATGGCAACAGATTCTGCATGATGCCGCTGAGCCGTACTCGCTGTCGCCGCCAGTGATGCTCGGAAATAAGCCGTAATCTCCCGTACAGGTTGCTGCTGTACGTCAGTGGCGGCAGAGAACCCTGGCCATGGCGGTTGACGTCCAGGGGAATCCTCCGTACACTGCAGTACGAGCTCCTGGATGAAGGGGTACGCAGTCGCCAGCTGCACCGGGAGCGCTCATGCAGAAAATTGTACGGCGGACCGAGCACCCGTACAGTACGAGCCACTGTGCCTAGCTCGCTGAATAGGTTCCGAGTACTACTAACGTCATGGTTCCCGCCGCCGCCGTCACGATACTCAAGGCCGCCGCCGCTGCTACTGCCGTCACCGCCACCACCACCGCCGCTGCCGCTGCTACTGCCGCCGCCGCCGCCGCCGCCAGTCACCTCAGGGAGGCGTCCACGTCAGCTAAGGAACGTCTTGCGCCAGGGGCAATCCATGACCGGAATGTATTGAAATGCTGGAGAACTCCTGTGTCGTACGGCTCAGAGTACGGCATATAAGCGCCAGGGCGAGAACTGGAGTCCAGAAATTGCTGCTGCCCTAGAGGCCGCGCAGTCTGTATGTCCAGAACCTGCAACACTCGAATGGTCGGAGCAGAACACATTCACAAAAATATCAAGACGGAAGCAGGGGCCCATCGTGGCGGTCGCGACGGCTGCTGTAGCGCCATGCCGTACAGCAAGCTTATTACCTGGACGATTTTCGCACGCGAAAGGTGACGGAGATAGGACCGGTGAAGGTGTCGTGCAAGGCACGGCACGGCGTCGGCGTCAGCGACGGTGGTGCTGGACAACTTTACTTTGCTGGAACTAAAGGCGCCTGCGGCAACGGACTGCGGCCGCCGCGACGGCGACACGTACGGCTCTGAGTCTACCAGCCGCCGCAGCGGCGTCGGCGGCAGCGGCGGCGCGCAGGGCGACATTTAACTGCAGGTCACGCACACAGGCGGCATGAGACGAAGTGCCGAGCGCTCTGCGCGGCTGAGCTGCAGCCATATTGCGGCTCGGATACAGTCAGGGTGGCAATACGCGCTGCAGTAGTCTGTGCCGACGGCGCGGATTGTGCTGAAGGCGTTGACCCTAAACGTGAAATCCAGTGCAGGAAAGGGCTCTGATGTAGACCTCGGGAAAAAAGCAAGTAGACATGCATGGGACCGCGATAGGCAGGCCTGTTAGTTGGAGATCATCATTATAGAATAGCGTCTCGAGAGGTTCAGTTATCCGTTATTGGGTACTGACGCTTCCCGTTGCGATAGAATATTGATGGGGCTTCGCTCCGAAGCCGCAACGAACTTTGTAAGAAGCAGAATTTTATTAAGGTTACGATAACAATAATTGAGTCGCAACCTTCCGACATTGTACGCAGATCCTCATGACGCGCAGGACAATAGTTCCATTAATTCACGGCTGTCCAGCCGACTTCCGTCCTTACAAAATCAGTATTGACGTTGGTTCATGTTCACAATGTTTTTAGGACATTCTATGTTCCGCATTTGTCTGGTATAACCAGTTGCGTTGGACATACACGAATTTCGTGTCGGCTGCGAGACACTGACTTGCACAACCTTAAATTCTAACAGGCAAAAAAACTCATAAAAAGCATGCCTGAGATCAAATCCATGCTAATATGTAACGCAACATATTAACGTGGAAACGTCGGCGGTTAGAGCAAGCATGGCCGTCTCAACGATTTGACGTTGACCGGCTGAGTGCAGTTATGGCCTTCACCAAAGCTCCCCCTGGTGCAGTCACACGGTAAGTCTAACGTCTGTGACGGCGCATACTCAAACAGCGGGGTGAGCTTCGCGATTCGGGCACCTTCCAAGATTGCTCCCTGCTAGCGACTCGCAACAACCCCCCCAGAACTGGCAATTTGGAGCCATGACTCTCCCCCACGCAAACCCCCCCTCCCACTCTTCCAAGCCCTTTAAGTCTACCTCACTCTCATTATCTCCCTCGCCGCCGCTTCCAACTCCCGCACCACACCGATCCCGCTAACCCCCTGCCATCCCGCCTCCCTCATCCTAACCCCGCCCTTTCTTCCCAAGCTACCTCTGGGTTGGCGGCGTGTACGGCATGTCCGTACATCATCTTGCCGAACTCTTCGCACCGTACGGCAATCCAACGGTGGTTCTACCCGAGAGCGGCGAGAACAGCCGTGCTCGCAGTCGTCGTCCCCCTCCCCCACCATCCCAACAACAGCAGCAACAACAACAGCAACAAGAGGAAGAACACCAGCAACACCAGCAGCAAGTACTAGGTGGTTACCACGCCTTCCTCGCATTCGAGGCGGAGGGTGATGCGGCGGCGGCAGTGGCGGCGGTTCCCCGGGATACCCCCTGGCCGGCGGCGGGGGGACGGAAGTTGGTGCTCACATACGCAGACATGCGGCGGGACAAGGTGCGCGTGTGTATGCGTGTGTGTGTGTGTGTGTGTGTTAACGAAGGGGTGTTGCGCTGCTGCTGCTGATGATAGTGATATACGATGATGAATGATGATGATGATGATGAACGATGATGATGATGATAAACGATGATGATGATGATAAACGATGTGTGGTTCTGGTGCGTCGGAAGGTTCTGGAAGGTCAATGCAGTGCGATGTTCTGGGGTGGCAGTGGTGGCAGTGGTGGCTAGCGGGGGGCCGGGTGAGCGGGTGAGCGGGTATGACTCCGGACTTTGGGGGCTTGTATGGGGGTTAACCCTTCCCTCCCCCTTCCCCCCCCCCTCCCCCTCCCCCTCCCCACCCGCCTACGTAACCTCTCGTCCTCCGCCTCCCCCACCCCCGTCCACATCCCTACTCCCCTCCTCACACACATAGAGCCAACCTTTCTTTTTCCCTCCGGCCTCACTCCCCCCCACTTCCCCACTTCCGTACAGCGGCCCGTGCCCAGGTCCGTGAGCACGAGTGCGGATGATTTGGGTATTCCCGGACTCGGCTTGTTGGAGGAGTTCGTGACGGAGGAGGAGGAGCTACGGCTGCTGGCGGCCGTCCTGGGGGCGGCGGGGGAGGGGGGGGAGGTTGGGGGGAAGGGGGAGGG